GTTATAAGATGAGTATACTGTGGTCATAAAACGATGGGCATGGTCAGCAGCACAGCTCAGGGAGGTTGTACCTCTGGAGAGGCCCTATCCTACACCTGAAGTTTTTACCAGTGAAAAGAACTGAGGTTTCCTCACAGTGTTTCCTAGTGTTTCATCAACAAAGGAGAATTTATCCCTTAGACTGTGTAAAATTTCTTTCATGGTTATTCTGCTGCAAAGGTGAGCTCTGAGATGGGCCCAAGCCATGCTTGCTCCTCAGCAGTCTTTCTTTAACCTGATATATCAAACCCAATTATTGTGGAAGACTGCTCTGACTCTGGAGAAGGCGTTATGCTTTCTGTTTTTTTAAATGAGCAGTAATGATACTTGTAATAAATGTAGCCTTTATGCAGCTCTGGAGGCCTGGATTGCTGAATTGGACACTTGAAATCCCACCCTTGAAAATCCCGTAGCTGGTCAGGCCCCTGTAGCCGGAGCAGCGGAAGGTGGCGTAGGCCCTGCTAACTGTCTCCCAGCAGGTTATCCTCAGCAGACGGGAAAACATGATGGCTGGGAGACGGTGAGGAGGGAGCATAGTCTTAAACAGAAGCCCTGGTACACCACCACTGTGTTCATGTGTCTAACTTTTTCCTCCACTCGGCGACACACCCGCCAGGGATCAAACTCTGGTAATTGCTGATTCTGTTCTGAGACACATGAAGACAGCAGCAACCATAGTCAATTGTCTTCCAGGGGCCAGAGCAGGCAACACTGAGGGAAATAGAACATGCTGGCTGAGGGTAAACCTGAATTCAGTAAAAGTATAATTCACATCAGCAATAATGACACCCGGTTACATCAATCAGATGTCACTAAAATCAATATTGAATCAGTGTGTAACTTTGCCAAAACAATGTCAGACTCTGTAGTCCCCTCTCCAATCAGACCAGGAGTGTCATGCGGCTAAGCATGTTCTCCTTAAATTGCTGGCTGTGTGACTGGTGTCCAAGAAACGATGTGGGCTTTATAGATAATTGGGAAACTTTCTGGAGGAAACTTGGTCTTGTTGGGAGACAATCCGACTTTGGATGAAGCAGCTCTTATTTCGCAGTGATGTTAAATTGGGGTGAAACGTCATCGTAGCAGCTTTGACTGGCAGCTGCGGTCACGAAGAAACTTGCGTATCTCTGTTCGGGAAGAGCAGATAGAGCGTAGGCTCTGAGAGGAGGGCCAGCGTTTACGTAACCAGCGTTTAGTACATATAAAAGTGCAAATGGGAAAAAGGTTTTTGAAATGTAGTTTATTAAATTGGAATTCAAAAATGAATTTACAAATGCAGAATTTATTCTACAATTCATTATTTAAGCACAGAATTCTTTATTTCGATGCGCGTGGCTCTTATGGTCCCCCATACTATGGACCCCAAAGCGCTTTACACTACATTCAGTCATCCACCCATTAACACACATTCACACGCTGGTGATGCCGGGTCCTCTGACCACCACCAGTACGCAACCGGTGTCTTGCTCAAGGACACAACGACCGAGACTGTCGGAGCCGGGGTTCGAACCGGCAACCTTTCGATTACAAGACGAACTGCTAACGCTTAAGATTAGATTAACCTTTACTAGTCCCACACGTGGGAAATTTGTTGTGCCACAGCAGAAAGTGGACAGTGCAAATTTCAAGTATGGAGAAGGATACAAACAGCTCATAATCTAAAGCATATTCCACATTATCTGTCAAACATGATGGAAGCAATGTTATACCATACTGCCTGCAGTGGAATCAGGGCACTGGTTCCCCTCACATGATGTGACTGCTGATAGGAGCAGCGGGATGAATTCAGAAATGTGCAGCGAGTACTGTAATCTCTGCTCAAACTCAGAGATTTGGCTGATGTTGGTTGATTGGAAAGCATTTAAACAGTGTTACTACATAAGGACCCAAAGTGTACTGCAGAAACAACCCAAAATATCCCAAGGCAAAGAAATGGGATATTCTTAAATGTTCAAACCAATCACATGATCTGAGGCCAACAGAGCTCACTCTTCAGTTACTAAAAACAAAACTGAAGGCAGAGACACACATACACACACACACAAGCCAAAAAGTCCAGCAGAGCATTTAGACTTCAGTCAGTCACTGACTGCCAAAGATTTTCATCAAAGTTTTAAACACAATGATTTCATTTAAAGTCATATCAGGGTGTCAAAGGTACTTTTGAGCCTCTGAAATTGGGGGACAGTGCATGAAAATGGCTGTCGTTTCTGAACGGTTAATGCACTTTGTGAAAGTCCTGGAATTAAAGGAAGAAGTGTGACAGCTTAATAAGGGACATGCCATCTGTTGCTGCTTCCTGTATTTTTGAATGAAACAGACACCATGGGGTACAGAAAGTGAAACAAAACACATCACTTTTTCTTTCTCTTCGAACCCACGGTCTGCTTTTCACGAAGCATGTTATCACTTTGTCCATTTTTAATTTTTATTTTTGTCGTAAGACAAGCTGAGACCAGCATGAGCACTCTGAACCAGCAGTATGATGAGAAGGTCCGTCCCCTCATCGACCTCATTGACTCTCTCCGCTCTCTCGGTGTAGAGAAGGACCTGGCGCTGCCTGCTATCGCCGTGATTGGAGACCAAAGCTCGGGGAAGAGCTCTGTGTTGGAGGCGCTGTCTGGGGTGGCACTGCCGAGAGGCAGCGGTGAGTTGTCTTATTTCCTGCTCAGAAACTTTCCGTACATTAGAAGTGTCAAAGTGAAGCATATAACGGAACTGTATCAAGACTGGCAGAGAGGTGGGGGTGGTGCAGAGCATGTATCAGGCAGCAAAACACATTCTTTGGCAACTTGCCTGTTCCTTAAAATCTATATTTAATGACTTGATTAATTTAATGACACGCTATTTTACTTTATTTCATTAAAATTACTAGAACAGGGTTTGAACTTTGAGTTGACAATTTCATGACTTTGTTTTGTTATTTTGAATTTTTTTAATGTACATAATGGTACATTTAAACTAAAATTACAAATGTGACAGATTTTCAGCTGAAGTGTTGCTAGTGATCCATAAGAACAAATATCAATTGGATCAAATAAACCATCATTACTAAGATATGAAAACATATGTGTGCGTGCGTGTGTGTGTATGAGTTGTAGAGGAAGGAGGTTGGTCTGGGTTTGGGGCCTATTTCTTATAAATTGAAGTTTCAAACAAGTCAAAGGAGGGAAGGAAATGGAGAGCACAGTTACATTTATGATTTTAGTTTTAGGAATCTAAACTACCTGGTTAGGTTAGGAGCTGCTTGCTGTTAAAGCAGCTCCTCCCTTCTGTCCATGACCTCCCCTCTGTTGTTAAAAACGGTTTATTTTAAAGGGTGAAGCATGGCTGGAAAACAGAATGCTCACAGGAAGCTGATTAGTCCAAATCACTCTGGCTGAAAGCATTTCGGCAAGATGGATTCTCCCCTGATCTTGTACAAATCAAACCGTCTATCAGAGCATTAGACTCCAACTAGAAAAAAAACAACCTTTTACATATTTGTATCACCAAAATCACGGAAGGCTAAAAGTCATAATAGAAAACATCGGAAATCGTTCATTAATTTGTCCAAAAAAGAGAGAGAGAAATTGTCTGACACTCAGTGTTTTAAAACGAAGGTATTGTGACAAGATGTCCACTGGAACTGAAGATGATGAGAAAGAAGAAAGGAGAGGCGTGGTATGGAAAGATAAGCTACCGCGACTTTGAAGAAAAGATAAAAGAGCCTGCAGTCGTCGAGAAAATGATTCGAGAAGGTGAGTCTACATAATTCTTTCATGTCACTACTAAAAACCACGTAAAAGGTGGAAGCACAAAGTAGGCAAGTTAAATGTGTTGCTTGAGCATACGTGACATCATATTCTCTCTTTAGCTCAACTTAAATTGATCGGGAATGAGATGGGGATCAGCAGTGAGCTCATCAGTCTGGAGATTGCCTCTCCGGATGTTCCAGACCTTACTCTCATCGACCTGCCTGGCATTGCCCGGGTGGCTGTAGATGGGCAGTCGGCAGACATTGGTGATAAGGTATGATACCTTAGTCTCCCTCGCAATTTTAAGGCCATTTCTTTGGTAGAAATTTCATCCAGTGAAACACAAACCCAGAGTTTGATAGGCATTGGCATGTTAGTGTTAAAAAGGGGCAACACTGACACACCAGTGTGACTGCTGGTTTTTGGTATTATATGTATTTATTGTTATGAGTTTTCTACTTTATCTGGACATTCCTGCTTACATCAGTTATTTGGTTGTATTGTTCATAACTGCATTTATGCAATTTATGAAATAATATTTTTAATCTTTATACTTTATTTTTAATGGATACTTTCAGATTAAAACTATGATCCAGACTGTCATCAGTAAACAAGAAACTATCAACCTGGTGGTTGTTCCATGCAACGTGGACATTGCAACTACAGAGGCTTTGAATATGGCTAAGCTGGTGGATCCTGATGGAGAGAGGACTTTGGGTAAGCAAGTGTCTCTCTTAAGTCATTTAGTTTCTTTACTTTGGATTCTGTTTCTGCTGCCAAGTGATTAACATCATATGGATGCAGTGAACTACAAACGCAACACATCAGCCTGGAAGTTGGAGAAGGGCCACAGATTGCTCTTCCACACAGGCAATCACCCCATGCACATTTCCAAAGTTGTGTCCAAATTGCTTTAGCACAAGTTGTAGTGGTCATGGCAAAGCCCTGTTGGTAATTCAATAGAAAATTTGGGCAGAAAAGAAAAAGCAGGTATAAAAACTGAGCCTACAAATTTGACTCAGGTACACTAATATTCAAGAGGAACAAGTTAAAAATAGGACAGCAACTTATTGAGAGAGACTTTCAGAAGGAAATACATGTTTTTTCTATTGGTCATTCCATCTTTAGTCAATACAGGCCTTCTGTTTGACCATCTCTGATTTGCATGAAGATTTTGTGGTCCAAATCTTGAACCTACATTACCGGTCAAAAGTTTTAGGACACCCCACTTTTTCCAATTGATAATTATGAAAAATATTTATTAAAATTATTCGGTTTAATGTCTCATTGCGCCCTGAAATTAAAACTAAGTCCAAATATGCAATTGGAGAAGAAATCATGGCATAAATTTATAGTGAATCATTTATTCTAAACCGTTGACTCATCAAAGTAGCCACCTTCCCATATCTGTTGCAGAAGCTCCCATAAATGTGTGGCACTTGTAGGTTTCGTTTCCTTGACTCTTCTGTCCGGTTCATCCCAAACCAGCTCGACGGGGTTTAAGTCTGGAGACTGTGCTGGCCACTCCATGTTTTGAAGCTTACCATGTTTGGGGTTTTTTCCTGAGGTAGTTATGGCATAGTTTGGACTTATGTTTTGGGTCATGATCTTGCTGTAGGATGAACCCCTGACCAACTGGACACATACAAAAGGGTATCGCATGGTACTGAAGAATGCTAAGGTAGCTGTTTTAGTTCAGGGTGCCTCTCAGTCTGTACAAGTCACCGACCCTGGATCCATCAAAACAGCCCCAGACCGTCACACTTCCTCCTCCCTGTTTGGCAGGTGATGCCACACACTGTGGAACCATCCTTTCACCTACTCGACGGTGTACAAGGATCCTGCGTGATGAGCAACAGATTTCAAATTTTGATTCATCAATCTATAATACCATCTTCCTGTCTACAGTAGTCCAATGGTGGTGTTTCATGGCCCAGGCAAGCCTCTTTGTCTTATTCTGATGTCTTAGCAAAGTTACGCAAGCTATTAACTCTCAGAAACCTGTCCTCAAATTCAGTTGGCTTTGGGTCTGCCAGACCTCTTCCTATCAGAGTTTGCCCCAGTTTCAGAGTGCCTTTTGATGGTGAAAAAAGGCACCTTGACATGCTCCAACAATGCTTTTATGCAGACAGAGGGGGTTGTAGGTAATCCAGAAAAGTTGGAACACCAGCTTTCAAGGCTTGAAATTTGTTAACCCATTTTGTGTTCCCTGAAAAAGACCTTTTTGTATAGTTCTGAAATGTACTTTTTTCCTTTTTGGCTAACCTTACTTTTTTTTTTTTTTTTTACCTCTGGCCTTTCTAACCATTTATCGGACCTGAACTACTTGAATTGCAAAAAATAACTGGGAAAATGGGGGTGTTCTGAAACTTTTGACCAATTTGTTAAAAACCTGTTGGATCCACTTACTTTAATCCCTGCAAAATGATATCTGAGGCAGTGTACATGTACATCTGAATTACTATTAAAGATAAAAGCATAAATGAATGGAGCGACAGCTATATATAAACCATTTAAAGGTAACATGTCAACTGACAGTAAAATGAAAGAAAGAATGCACTGTTAAATAAACAGTGCATTCCTGATGGATTTTAACTGACTGAGTACAAGCAATCACTGCCAGACAAACATGTCCAGTAATGTGAAACACTGCATTTATATGTCTCCAAAACATTTCTGACATCCACTGTGTCACAGGCTGGGTCTCCGACCCAGCGCTCTGAGTTCTTTTTGTATTTTTCTCATTTTTGATATGTGATTAGGTTTTGTGTTATTTCCTATTTGCTTTTAGTTTGGGCAGTTATTGGTTATTGTTCCTGGGTTTTCTATGTTTTGGGGTTTTGTATTATTCATCACGTATTAGGTCTGTTAAGTTTGTGTTGTCATGTCTAGTTTTAGTGTTTCCTGTTTTATTCTGACAGTGTCATGTGTTCTTTGTTCATTGTATTTAGCTTTCCTCTCCTGGTCCTGTCATTAGGTTTATGTCAGTCAGCTGTTCCCCCATGTGTCTCCACTTCCCCTGATCACCTCTTGTATGTATTTAAGCCCTTTGTTTTCTGCATGCCATTGTCGGGTCGTCTGTTTATTCTGCCCTAGTTCTAGCCTGGTTCTGGTTATTTTGACCGTAGTCTTAGTTTTCACCACAGTCATAGTTATAGTTTTTGGTCTTAGTGTTTTGCCAGTTTGTTTTGGTTTCCTGGTTTATTCCCTGCCGTCATCTTAATAAAGCTTCACCTTTCTGTTAAAACCTTACTACTCCTCGTCGTCATCTGCTTTTGGGTCCTGTTTCCACGCACATCGGCGCACCCCGCCGTGACACACTGGATTTCTTTTGCAAACATCTGTGATCATGTTAAAGATCCCTTTCCTGCTGAGAAAACAACGTTGGCAACATTTGATGACTGGCACCAAGCTCTGACTGGAGCTTGCAGTGATCAATACAAATTATCAGTCTTCTCATAAGGTGGGGAATCCAACACTATCTCTCTCTGTCAGGTGTCTTGACTAAACCTGACCTGGTGGACAAAGGCACAGAAGAGAACGTGGTTAAAATTGTCC